CAGCTGTCATGGTGAACACCTAAGGTGGTGTGGTCCTGTTTCCTGTGTGTGTGTGATCCTCAGGTAGTTGGGAGCTGCCTGACCTGGGTGCTGGGGCGCTCAGTGCCCTCACCACGGAACCATCTCTCAGCACTGTCCCTTTTGTTTTGAGCTACATACACTTCCACGGTGTTTAATGGTCCGTGAGCTTTTCTCATTTGCCGGCGGCCACCGTAACCTTTAGGGACATGTCCTGTTCTGAACTAGGTCAGTTGTCTCATTATTGTGTTGTAAGAATTTTTTACTCTGAGCCAGAAGTGCTGGCCTAGTCTTTGATCCAGGCTGAGGCAGGGTTGTGAGCTCCAGGCCAGTCTGGGTGACACAGTGACTCTGGCCCAGAAAACCAACAAATAAATGCAAATAACAAAATAAAATTTGCATATAATCCAGGTATTAGAACTCGGGTGATTTTGGCCCATTTTGTAAGCTGGTTACTTTTTTATGGTTTCTTCGAAGTTCAGGTTTTTAATTTTTTTTTTTCATTGATTCCTTGTTTCACATCACGCGGCGCAATCCCACTCACCTCCCTGTTCCTTTGTATCTGGCTTTGCAGCCCCAGAAGAAAATAGTAAAAATAACCAAAACAAAACAAAGCAACCATCTTTGCGGAAGCTGTCGTGTCACGGCGTGGCCCACAGAACACCCTTCGTCCACATCTTCCCTTGCAAGTGTTCACTGCAGTGAGTCATTAGTCTGGTTCGAGGCCTCTGCTGGGCTCCTCTCAGACATCCTGCTGTTGTCCAGTGTCATGCAGATCCTGCAGCCTTGGATCAACAGGACTGGCTCAGAGCTGGCTCCCTGCACCCATGTGCCACCATAGCCTGCTCTCCTGCGCTGCAGTCGCGGTGTGGGGCCCACTCTCCTGAGCGCTGGAGCCAGTGAGGGCATGGGACGGCTCTCCTGCTCTGCTACCCTCGGAGCTGGCTCACCTGTGCCTGCTCCACCACCAGGGTCGGCTCTCCTGTGTAGCCCAGTCAGGGTGCAGGCCCTGCTCTCCCGCTCTGGTGACCTGGGCCCAGCTCTCCTGATTCCTGCAGGTGGTGAGGAGGTACTGGGCACCAAGCCCAGCACACACCCACACCACCTCACAGCAGACACTGGTGGGGCCAGCTCTGCCAGGCTCACAGCCTCGGGGGTGGGCCGGCTCTCCGGTGCTGCCCAGGCCAGGGGCAGGGCGGCTCTCCTGGGCTGCTGGTGGCTTTCCTGGGCCGCTGAGGGGCAGGGCCGGCTCTGCAGCCCTTGGACGGCTGTTTGGTTCCAGGTGGCAGCCCAGGGCAGGGATGTCCGCATGGTGTTTAGTAGTAATGTGAGCCACGTACATCCACAGACTCCTGCTGCTGCATGGCCACAGACCCAGGCCTGGCCCTCAAGCTGCAGCCAGGGCTGGGGTGTCACCCTGGCCTCCAGTAGCAGTGCTGGCCACTCACAACAGGTGGCTCCCGTCCACCCTCCAGCCTCATCCACCTGTCTTCACGGCGCTCACACTGCTCCTCTTCTCGTTCTCTCCTGCCTGTGCACCGCACACCGGCGAGCTGTGGTGGTTCCTGCTGCAGGCGAGTGCAACAGGCGGGCCCCGGGGTGTCCCCCTCTGCCCCACGGTGTGGCGGTGGGTACCTTACTGAAGCCAGGCTTACTTTCTCCTTTGCTGTTTTTGTTTCTGATGTCACAGCTAAGAAGCCCCCGCCTGACCCAAGGTTGTTATCTAGGCCTAATTTCTCTCAATCTGTGCCTTAGGTCTTTGTTGCGTTTACTTGGCATGTGGTGTGAGGTTGGCAGGTCTGACTTCATTCTCCTACAGGTCCCAGCACCACAGGTTAGCCCACCTGAGTGACTGGAGCACAGGGATCAGCAGTTCTTGGCCAGCCCAGGTGTATAGACCCTGTCATGAAAAACCAGAGAGCTGAGGATTGTGGCCCATACCTTTAATCCCATCACTTAGGAGGCAGAGGCAGGTGGATCTCTGAAGTCTGAGGGTAGCCTGGTCTACATACAGACTTCCAGAACAGCCATGGCTACACAGAAACCCTGTCTCCAAAAACCAAATGACAAGAGAGAGACAGATTGATTGCTGCATTGAAGTATTCTGGCAACCTGTGAGTGCCGATCCGTGGCGTCACCAGCCTCACCCCCCACCCCCCACCTGTCTGGGAAGTGCGTCCTCCAGCCTCCTTCTCTCACAAGACTGTTTAGGCTGTTAGAGGCCCTGGGAATTCCAAAAGAATTTTAGGATAAGCATCTCAATTTCCACAAGGATGCCAGATGGGGCTCTGACGAAGACTGCAGTGCAATCGTGGACAGAGCTGGCGAGCTGGCCCTCAAGCGCGGGGAGCCTCCAGATCCACACGTGGGTGCGTTTGTGGTTTACTGGAGTCTCTTCTCTCAACAGAGTATTATCTTTCTCAGGGTATTAGCTTTGAACTGTTGTTACATTTGTTTTCCTTTTCGTGTGTAGTGCACACACGAGGTGCATATCAGTGACTTTGGGTTGCTGTGGCAGAGCACCGTGACCAAGGCCACTTAGGGAAGAAGGAAGGATTGGCTTGTTTGGGCTACGGCAGAGGGAGTGTCCAGGATGGTGGTGAAGGCAGCGACTGCAGGAGCAGGAAACAGGGAGATCACATCTTCACCCATGCTCAGAGGGCAGAGCCAGCAAGCAGGAGCAGGGTAAGCCCGAGTTCTTGGAGCCCTCCTTCAGTGAGAAGCTCTCTCTCCAGCTAGGCTCCCCCTCCACCCAGAGCAGCACCAACCTGCTGCTCAAACATCGGAGCTGACGGCCGTTTCTCAGCAGACATCAGCTGTCCTTCCTGTCGCTTTCAGCCTTTTTGCCTTGAGACAGCGTCTCGCTGAACTGGGATAGGCCCTTCGGCCAGGGCCCTCTCGTGCTCCCCGTTTCTGTTCCCCAGTGCAGGGCTGCAGGTGTGTGTAACCATGGTGACAGGTTTTTGTGTTGACACAGGGTCTCTATTGTCCTGGCTGGCCTAGAGCTTACTATGTAGTCCAGGCTGGCCTCAAACTCACCTGTCTTTGCTGCCCAGATGCTGGCATTAAAGGTGCGCGCCACCACTGCCACACTGTGTGTTGATCTGTGTGTCACATCTGAACTGCTTGTCTCTAGCAGTTTTCATGGCCTTTCCACACAGATCATTCATCTGCAGAGAGGTAGTTTGGTGTCTCCACTTCCAAGCTGGCTGTTTTCTCTTCCCTGTCGGTGCCTGCCTATTCTGGGAAGCCCTCCATGGTTTGGGGTGGGGTGGCCAGCCCCATTTCCTTTCCTTTCCACTCCCAGCCCCAAGAGGACACTGCCACTGCACAGTGCGGCCCCGTTCCCGTGGGCAGCACAGGGCTGCAGCAGCGCGGGGCATTCGAGGATATGGCTGGTGGCTCTGGGGCACACGGTGTCAGCCCGAGGGAGACAGATCTGTCCAGGTACGATCTGAAGCTGGGAGAGAGGCCAACAGGGCAAGCGACAACCAACCCTCGAAACGGGGCCACAGCTCTAGCCAGGCCACCTGGTTCTGTTACCAGGAGAACACAGAGGCCTGCGAGGGTCAGCAGGTGGAGGTGCCAGAAGACTGGGGACCTGAGTCCGGTCCCCAGAATCCAGAGGGGGAAGGGCAGGACTGAGTCCCCAAAGCCGGCTGAAGACCTCCACTGTGTCCTGCCCACAGTGCGCACGCACTCCCGCCCACACAGACAATAACAAAGATACACGGAGAGTCTGTGACACGTGACTTTTTCCAGGGAGACAAGAACAGTCACTTGTTCATGTCGGGCAGGGAAAGATAAAACAATGATTTCACCAAGTTTCACATGGTGAAGCAGAGGATTATTGGGGTCACACACAGAGCCACTGGGGAGGGGCCTCCCAAGAGTGGGGAGCCTCTCCAGCAGCCAGCGCCCTGAAAAGCCAGGCTGCTGTAGGCTCTAACAGGCCCAAGGACCTCCCCAGCCCTGAAAGGTGTCTTGGAGCCCCCTCCTTCTGCCTGGGAGGGAAATGGCTCGAAGTTGCCAGTGAGAAGTAGCTCACCGGCCCACAAGCACCAGCGTGGCCCAGGAAGCCTGGGTTGGTGGCAGCGTGAAGCTGGTGACAAGTGTGCTTACAGGCAGATGTTCCTCTACCAGGGTCAATTCCCCTGCCTGTGAGGGGCAGGGCCTCCCAGGCCTGCTGTGAGGGGCAGGGCCTCCCAGGGCTCTGCCAGGCTTCAGGCTGCAGTGACTCTCTCTGGGAAGGGCAGAGCTGCTCTCACTCTTCTCCAGGGCCCAGCTGTACAGGGACACCCCCCACACACAGAACAGGCACTCCCAGAGCTAGGGTGAGGGTGAACTAGCACTGATCCCAGTGTTTACAGTTAAATGGAATGTCAGCTACTAGAGGATTATGGGAGTAAGCTGCTCCCTGGTGATGGGTGGAGCACCAAGAGTCTGTCTACAGCAATCATCCTGGAATATTTTCAATCTGGGTTTAAGAAGCAGCCATTTGGGTTTGGGCAGGTGTGTGGCACGCACTTCTAATGCCAGCAGTAAGGCGGCAAAAGCAGGTGGATCTCTGTGAGCTCCAGCCCAGCCTGATCTACATAGTGAGTTCCAGGGCTACATGGTGAGACCCTGCGTCAAAGCAAACAAAACCCCACTTTGTTCTCTGGCACTGACCAGTGTCCCCTTCTGCCTTGCTTAGGAAACATTTTTATGGGGGGAGTAAATATATACCTACCCTAATTGCTCTACACTAATTCCAGACTCAGAGCATTTAGCTGTAAGATTATGGGGGGGGGGGTAAAAAGATTTATTTTTATATTTTGCACACACACATACACATGTAAACATGTACACCCAGGTGTGTGCAGGTATCGGCAGAAGCCAGAAGAGGGTATCAGCTTCCAGCATCTGGAGCCACAAGCAGTTGTGAGCTGCCCTGACTGATCTCAAGGCCTCTGGAAGAGCAGCCACTCTGCAGCCCTGACTCATCTCTTCAGCACTGGCTATCTTCAGAGACACATCGGGATCCGACCAGCCTCATGGGTGTGGCAATCCTCTGTCCACCTCAGCCTTCCATTGGGATGACAGAGTTGGAGTCATGGTCCCAGCCACCCCTGGCTCTCCCTCCACGTAGAGGGCCGACACACTTCCATGCCAGCCTAGACACGGGCTGACACGGACCACAGTGGTGAGGCGTGGCAGCTGACACCATGAGAAGCCCGAGCCAGGGTTGGAGAGACTGAGGGAGCTTGCTGCTCACCTGAGACCCAGCACCCAGAAACAAGCCGGGGGTGCCACAAACGCCTGCCGCTACAGTTCCAAGTTCAAACACCCTCTTCCGGCCTCTAGCAGATACACAAGAGACAAGAGCACACACTTAGGGAGTAAACCAAGACAGACAGACGGGCGGCTGGCTTTAACCCACCTACCTGAGGTAGAAGCGTCCTGTCCGGTTGCTTTCTCCTGTCTGAAGCATCTTGCGTGGTGTGCATGCTGTCTGGGAGCTCTCTGGTCTCATCTCCCCCCCAGCTCTTCCCCAGGTAGAAAACTCAGATTCAAAATTGCACAGCAAAAAGGACAGTTTAACCGAGGGGGGGGGGGGCACCTGAGCTGTGAAAGACAGTCTGTCTGTGCGTCCCAGGAAAGGAGGAGCGTGGGAAGGCCCCTCCCAGTCCCAGGCTGGCCTTCCGTCACACTTGTGAGAGGCAGACCCGGAGAATCACACAAAGGGACCCAGGAACCGCTGAAGGCAGCAGGGCCTGAGCTGGCTAGCTTGATGGGCTGTAAAGACAGAAAAAGCAACATTCCTGAGCAGATACTAGGATTGGAACAAATTCTTCATAGCGTGATGGTCAAACTGTCCAATTTACAACCTCAAATAACTTGTCACGCAGAGGACAGACAGCGTGCGCCTGGTTCCGAAGTGAAGGCAGCCGGCGGCAGAGCTGGCTCAGCACTGGAGAGCGCCTGCTGCGCTAGCAGAGGACCCCACACCGGGGTCAGTGACCCACAACCTCCAGGGAACCACCACCCTCTGCCTTCACCCCTCTGCGGTCCCCTCCCCCCACAACATTTATTAAATGCAAATAAAAGTAAGTCTTAAAAAGCAAGCCAGCAGATACAGACTGAGTCGCACAGGTGATGAGGTTATGGGACAGGCACTTGGTGGTAGCACAGCCGCCTCACAGAGGCTGAGGCCACCACACTGCAGACAAATGGAAACATGGGAGTTCTCAACTGGAGAGCAGAAGCCACGGATGAGGGCAGAGTAGGGACTCCACATCTGCAGGATGGGGTAGTGGAGAGACTCAGCAGCAGGCGTCTGAGGACAGAGTCTGTGAGCTGGGCCACTCTGTCCAGCTGGGCAAGCTCCCTGGCCTGTGGACAGGTCAGTCTGTAGGTCCTTGTTTTCCAAGTGCAACGACCAAGTCTCCTCCCCAGAACCCACAGCTTAACATGCTGGGCATGGCAGTGTGCACCTGTAATCTCAGCCAGCTGAACTGGTGAGCACCAGGCCAACGAGAGACCCCGTCACAAAAGCCTTTCTTAGGAAGGACACTCAAAATTATCCTCCGGCTCCCCAACACATATCCACGCATGTACCTGCAAAACACTATCGAAGAAAAAATAAAGACTAGCAGGGAAATGAAATATGAACAAAAAGACTCACATTAGCGAAAGACGCCAGTTTACGAAGTCAAGAAGCTCAGTGGATTTGTAAAAGTTTTCTAAATTTTACCAATTGAATTTGTAAGACTTCAAGGAAAACTGTGAGTCCACACATCACAGTCAACATGACAGGAACCAAAACAAACACCGGAGAGCAGCCACACACACACAGGAAAGCTGCTGGCAATAGAGAGGCTGGGAGGCTGTAGGGTTCTCCTCAGAACAGGCAGAGAACTACAGCGAAACTGAGAAAGGCGCTTCAGCCCAGAGCGCAGTGACCAGAAAGAGACCTGAGCCAGAAGCTGAAGGAAAGCCCAGGGGCGCCCCGCCCAGACACGAAGGGAATGCCGTCAGAGCTGATCGGCAGCTTCAGGAAGAGGACAGAAAAGGCAGCTGAGTGCGGGACTCAGGTCTGTCACCCCTGTGAATCCAGGAGGCTGAGACAGGAGGGGGCCAAGATTAAGGCTAGCCCGTGGTCACAGCCAGACTGTCTCATAAAAGCAAAATGAAAACAGAAGTGGCAAACACGGTGGGCAACAGGGAAATCCTCTCCAGTTTAAACACCAGCATACGAACTGTCTGCTGTGACAGTGGCAGGTACACTGGTGAGATTCTCGGGGTATGGAGTCACAGTGCACAGGGCTCTGACGTCCGTCACCACGGGCAGTGTGAATGTGTAAATATCAGGGTGGACGTTTACATGTGGAGGTTACAGTCTCTGGAGTGAGGATTAAAACGACGGCGAGCCTGCCGTGCGCTGAGGCCGGAGGATCGGAAGGTGGGGATCTGCTGGGCTATCCTGAATTCAAGGCCATCGTGAGCAATGCAGTTAGAACGCGTTTCAGAACAAGACGATGGGTGTGAGGCTCCTCGGAAGAGCGCTTGTGAGATACCGTTTCCGGCACCACAAAATAACAATCCTCGTAATCAACAAGGAGGGTTGCAGCCAGAAACCCGGCAGGTTACCCAGTGCAAGAGGAGGCAGGAGACCGGGGGCGTGTGTGTCCATATGTGTGTGTATGTGAAGTCCATGTTAACAGGGTTTGTTTTGTTTTAGGCTTATTTTTACTTACGTAAGTGTGTGCTGCACGCGTGTTCAGGACCAGCACAGCCAGAAGAGGGCACAGGACGCTGGAGAGCTGGAGTTGCAGGTGACTGTCATCCTGATGTGGGTGCTGGGACCTGGACTGGGTCCTCTGGAAGGACAGCAAGTATGCTTGCCTCCCGAGCCATCTCTCCAGCTCCAGATGAAAGCAGTTCATCTGTGAGAACGGTGCACACATGTGCACGTGAGACTGTGTGCGTGTGCCATGTGTAAAGCCTGACCTTTTTTTTTTTTTTTTGAGGAATGTGGAAGACCGAACTCATAGGCAGGCTTGACAGGATGCACTGGAAAGGCCCAGAAAGACAACACTGAGAGCAGTGTGGGCTGGGGGAGGAGGGGGGAATTTCTTTGTTTTTGTTTTGAGACAGGCTATCTCTGTATCTTGGGGCTCTCCCTGTAGACCAGGCTAGCCTTTAATTTACAGAGATTCACCTACCTCTGCCTCCGGAGTGTGTGTACACTGTACCCAACTACAAGTAAAGATCTTAGCAGCACTTGGGATAGACACCAAGTGTGTGATATTTTGGCAAAGAATACGGCTGCTTTTCTGTCCTTGTCTTTTTCTCTTTTCTTTTTTTAAATTTTGAGACTCACAGTGATCCTGATTAATCAGGAGGTCTCTGCCTCCTGATTAAAGGCGTGTGCCACCACTCTTCTGCCCTTAAGAATCTGCCAGAGGCTGGATTTCAAAACAGCCTGTCACAAAACACTGTCACATGCTTCTTAGTAGTCACTCTACAATAAAAGAGGGTAAGTGGGCAAAAACAAACTCAAGATGCAGCTTAAAAAGGAAAGGAGTATCAGGAAGTTCGTTGTTGGAGCCAAGGCTTAAGCTGTCCTCAAAGAGGAAGTTAAGGAGAGGCAAGACCCCACCCAGCTACATTCCAGCCAGTGAAAGGGCCTTAGGAATAAACAAAGGCAGCCCTGTGGTTCCTAGAGTTCCTCCTAGCCAGGCAGCCACCATGGCAGTGTGGCCTCTGCGGCCCTGGGGCTGTGCTGGGCGCGGAATCGTCCACCAAGGCCGGGCAGCACTCCTCGGGCCAGCCGCTGCTCTGAGAGACCACTCCATGAAGGGTGGAGTCTCAGCTGTCTGAGACCCCAGACGTCAGTGTGTGACCTGCAGGCAGGAAGGGGAACCAAGATGTATCTTGAAGTCAGAAAAGCTGGGAGGGTGATGCCATCCAAGCCCTTTGCCATCAGACATGGGTTCCAGTTTACCCTGCTGGGTTCCAGCCCTGCTTTGGGTCAGTATCTCCTCACTGTGCCCCCTTTCCTGTGTAGTCTGTGCCATTACTGTTGGAAGTGCGTGATTTGCCTTTTGAGCTTACGGAGGCTAAAAAGACTGGCTTGAGTCTTTGGATCTTTAAACACTGTTGGAACTGGGCGAGAATGGGGACTTTCTAAGTTACGGCCTGTGGAGGCCAGTTAGCCTGTGGAGGCCAGCAAGCCTGTGGAGGCCAGGCCAGGGAGTATAATGTGGTGGTTTTCATGAGAATGGTTCCCAAAGGATCATATGTTGGAATACTTGGATCCCGGTTGGTGAAACTGTTTGGGAAGGATTGGGAGGTGTGGCCTTGCTGGAGGCGGAGTGTCAGTGGGAGTGGGCTCTGCAGTCTCCATTCCCAGTGTGTCCTCTCTGCCTCCTGCTGTCGTACAGGACACGAGCTCTCAGCTGTTCCTGCCACTGAGGCTTTCACTCTGTCATGAACTCTAACCTTCTAAACCATAAGCCCAATAATAATAATAATAATAATAATAATAATAATAATAATAATAATAATAATAGTTGTTGTTGAGACAGGGTTTTACCACACAGCCCGGAGCCCTGACTGTTCTATAACTCATTATGTAGACTAAAAAGATGAGCTTCCCCTCTGCTTCCCGAGTGCTGAGACTAAAGGTGTGCACCACCATGCCTGGCACAAAAACTTTTTCTTTAAGTTGCTTTGTTCATGTTGTTTTATCACAGCAATAGAAAAGTAACTGAGACGCCCTGCTGACTCCACATCAGACAGAGTCACTTAAGGAAAATCAATGCTCCTCCGAGAACTAGCCAAGCACCGGGGGATATAAAGTCTTCTCTATAAAAGCACCAGAGCGCGGCAGTGGCAGCGAGGGCAGCAGTGAGGGCAGGGTTGGGGTTCCAGAGGGGGACGGCGGACAGCAGAGCTGGCCATCTGCAGCTGGCCCCTGCCAAGTTTTCTCCCGCTGGTTCTAATGACAAGCCTAAGTTTTGAGAGGTAGTTGACAAGAGTGGGCTGGGCTGAGCGTGGTGGCACCTTTAATCCAAGAGCTGGCGGCTGGAGGCAGGCGGACCCCATGGCTTTGAGGACAGCCTGCTCTACACTTAGACCCTGTCTCAAAACCAAAAGCATACAAGAGCGGCAACTGGAGGGCTAGCCTCTGCTTCCCAGTGGTGGGAGGTGGCAAAGCGCTTGCGCCAACTGTGGAGAACAGAGCGAAGCAGAGGGCCTTGGCTTCCAGTGCATGGGAGACGGGGCAGGGACTCACAGCGTGGCCATGGCCGGAAGCCTTGGAGCATGGGTCTTGGCAACAGATGCCAGCCACCCCTCCAGTTGTCCTGGTGCCTCCAGCTTGGAGTTAGGCGGCCAGCCGCTCCCTGCAGGGGCGAGAGAGGGCACCACCATCGCCACTGGAGCAGAGGCTGCGGGAGTTGTGGTCTGCGTCTCTGGAGCGCAGCGGCAGGAGAAAGTCAGTGGAGCTGCTGCGAGCACAAGCAAGCACGGCTAGGCTCTAAATCAACTTTACTCACAGGGCCTGGGAAGCGGCTCAGCCGGTCCAGTGCTTGCCTAGCATGCAAAATGAGCTTTATCCTCACTCCCAAATGAACCTGGCACAGACCTGCAGGCCCAGCATTTAAGCCGCAGAGATGGGACCGGAGGAGTTCAAGGTTATCCTGGACTACACAGTGAGTGTGAGGCCAGCCTGGGCTCCACGTATCTGTCTCAACAACAAACGGGCTGGAGAGATGGCTCAGCATGTGCTCTTGCAGAGGCCCCAGGTTTGGTGCCCAGGACCCAGTGTGCCTAGAGAGAACCTGATGTCCTTTTTGGTCTCGGAGGTCCACATACATACACGTGAGCAAAATACTCTTACACATGGAGTTTTTTTTTTTAAGCAGCAGAAAGAAATGAACAAACAATACAACGTTATTTGTAAAGGCCTGTGGTGGCCCCACGCTGCAGCATGGGTGTCTATGGTCTGTACCACGAGAGTCCAACCCGTGACACCCAGCACTGGACATGTGTGCAGTGAAAGGACAGCGGCACAGACCCTGAGCCCACCCTCCCAGCATGCTTTTAACTTAAGAAAAGAGGAAGCCCTAGAGAATATAGAGGCAGTGACAGTGGAGGGTTCCGGCTGAGCCCAGACTCTACGGCAGATTTAAGACTGCCAGCTCAGACGGCCAGGCCTCTGAGCCCACAGCTGGTGACTCAGCCGCAGCCTGGAGTGAAGCCGCGGCTGTGGGCTGTGGCCCAGTGTGGCCAGAGGCCCTGGGGCCTCACTGGAGCTGGGAGGGAAGTGGGAACTCCCCTGGCCTGGCCTGAGCTAGCCACAGGCATTCCCTGCCCCCTGAGTGCCTGCCCGGGGCTCAGCGCCAAGAACTGTTTTCTTAGAAATGACTACCAGAGCCACTACCTTACAGAGGCCACTGCAGCCCTGCACAAAAGCACTTCTGTGGGACACCGGCCTGGCACCCTGCTGCTCAGTCTGACTGCCCCTGACTCCTGTGATAACTGCTCAAGAGTAGTTCACACAGCCCTTGTCTTAGCATAAGCTCTCAGGGCTGCCCGACTGTGTGACAGTGGAGACTGGGCCGGGTGTGGTGGGGCACGCCTTTAGTACCAGCACCTGAGACACAGGCAGGTGTTCAAGGCCAGCTTGGCCTACACAGTAAGTTCCAGGACAGCTGGGCCACCCAGAGACCTTGTCTCAAACAAACACACAACTTCCTCCTGGACCAATGAGAGGGCTCAGTGGCGGGGGCTCCCACAGGCGCAGGCAGGGACTTCCCCTCCCCGCCTCTGGCATGTCTATGTCAGCTAGCATCTGCCAAGCTTCCTCAGGAGTGGAGACTGCCAGCCGCCTGCGGCCAGGTGCAAGCTGGCTGTCCCCAGGCCCCTGCAAGCCCCTCCCACATGGAGCGCCGGATCCAAGGCTGAGCTCCTTAAAAAGAGGCTTGTTCAGCCCCAAGGGGTCAGCCTGGCCTTATGTACACAGAACCAAAGCTAAACAGACTCAGGGGGCTCTCTGTATGTGTGCATGCATGTACATACACATTTACTATCCGTATACCAGAGAAGGGATCCTGGATGTGGGCGGGTGGAATTCAGGAAGTGGGTGCATTCAGAGTCATATGAATGCAGCGCTCATGTATGACGTTCTCAATGGAAGACAGTCATCTCATCATCACCAACAAAGGAGACCCCGGAAGGGGCTGACAGGCTCATCAGCCACCAGGGAAACGGGAACGAAAGCCTGTACTTCCAACCCATGCTCACCAGGGTGGCCGAGGCTTAAAACAACAGGGAAGGTGCATTGATGAGAGTGTAGGGAACCTGGCGGCTTCAGACCCCTGATGAGAAGGTAAAATGGCAGCCAGCTCCGAGCAAGGTAGTACAGAGTTAGCACCACAATCAAATCAAAGGAACAACCAACCGATCAAAACCCAAAACAGCAACAAAACACCCAAGGGAAAAGGAAAAAAAAAAAAAAGATTGCAAACTTGGTGGCCGGATGGCGGTGGACAGGTTATGAACGCCCTGCCTGTCAGTTAACCCAGCAGAGCTGACACCTTAGGTGGCTGCAGGTGCAAACGAACCACGAAGCAGCATTTCCCAGAAGCACCAGGCTTATAGGTGCACAAGGCTCCTCTCCAGGCTCTTCCTAGGTGTAGCCTGGTCTCTCAAGGGCAGGACCCTGCTGGCCGCCCACCTCCGAGCCTGAGCCTCCTGTGGCAGCCACCACTCAACTCCTGCCAGAGCGCTTGCTTGCCTGCGCGCAGCAGGGCTCCTTCCCTCGACTTTCCACCAGGGGGCAGTGTTAGGACCCCTTAGCAGGATAAGGCATTCAGGGAACCTCCAGCCCCTGCTAAGCAAGGGTCCCAGGAGCCTGTCCTAGGGAAAAGCAGCCAAGCTGGGTGCCCAGGAGCCGCTCACAGGCTGTTCTCCATCTGCTCCCAGGGTAACAGCAACAGTGCACACAGTGCTTGGAGAACACACACACACCTGTACTGCCGAGCACTACAGTCCAATTCCAGGGTCCGTAGTTGTGAGCCTGTGTGCTACCTGACCTCTGACCTGGGATCCAGAGCGTGGGGGTTTCCTCCCTGGCCCTCTAGGAACCGGGGAAGCAGGGAAACGCCCCCAAGCCCACCAGCACCAGCTCCAAGGCTCAGAAAGCCAACTTCTCAAGCTGTGCACTAAGGATTTTGCTGGCTCCTGGGGGAAGGGGGGAGCTCAGCTTGAGCTGAGAGATTCCAAGGCGCTCTGGCAGCACCATGTTTCTGCCAGCAGTGGTTGCGGAGTGACATTTGGAAAGGCCGTCCAGCCGACCTTCGGGTGGACGGGGTGAAATGCCATGCATATTCTTTTAGAGCCACAGTGTCCTGGCAGGGGCAGAGTATTCCTTTCGTATGGACAGGGGACAGCTAGTTTTCTGCAGTCTTCCAGAAGATCTGCCTCTCAACCTTGAGAGAGCAATGAGCTTGCTGCTGAGGAAATGACATTCCCAGGCTTAGCACACCAGGAGCTTTTCTAACGCTCATCTTCCTTTCTGACCAGACATGGCAGGAACACCATCCTGGCCCTTCACGCTCTCGGTGTTAGAAAGGCCCGCCTGGCAGGCTTTGCAGATGGCTCTGGGTGTGAGCGGCACCCTTCCCTCCCAGCCTGGCAGAGAAGCAGAGGCACGGGAGCCTGGCCAGTGCTGTTTCCCACGTGCACGCCTTCCCCTTGGAGCTGGTTATGCCTTAGCCCTTGACCTTAACCCTCAAGATTGCTTCCTCACCAAGACCCTTCCAGCACATCCCAGCGGAGCTATGGAAGGGCAGAGGGGTAGTTGTGTGTTGTGCAGTGGGGTGCAGCCCTCGTGTCTCTGGCGCATTCACCATGCCAGGGTTAAGTCTTCTGGGTCCCAGAGTGAGGGAGCAGAGTTGCCCTGTGTTGGGACACTGGCACTGTCTGTCTGAGGACAGCCCGGTGTTGTGACAACATGCCAGCAAGCTGGTCACATGCCCTCACCGAAGCCGTCTGCAGGAAGACCTCCTCAGAGGATTAGGCTTCAAGAGAGCAGGAAGAGCGTGCATGTGGCGTTCACCGGGAGCAGGAGCTCTGAAAGCCCAAGTACCAGCTGGGGACTGGACCACACCAGGTCCTGCTGGGCTTTGGGCCTGAGGAGTCAGAATTGCCCCAGTCCCAGCTCCCGCAGCACCAGGCGGCAGGGCCTCCAGCCTTTCAGACACGGCTTCCCCCGTTTACCCGGAAACACCAGCATGCACAGGGACGTCCCGTACTCTGTGCTGACACAACAGGTCAGCTGTCAGGGAGCCCTGGCCAGGTGTGCATGAAGCCTCCTGTACTTTGCGTCCTGTGTGTGAGTGTGTGTGTGTTGGGGGGGGGGGGAGATCTGCAGCAAGAAAATTTCAGACTTCAGAGTTGAAGACAAGATTTCAAAATCTGGCTTTAAATAAACATGGAATTAAAAAAAGAGAGAGCACACACGGAGCCTCCAACAGCCAAAATTAGCAGCAGCCAGCCCTGGGCAGGGAAGCCATCTGTGAGCGTGTGAGGCGGCACACAAGTCTGGGCTTCTCGCTCCAGGAGGACCAGCCGGGGACGGCGGTGTGGTGGGCCAGGACACGGTGGAGCTCCCCAGGGCTCAGGGCTGGGTGTCTTTTGACTTCAGGGTATGGAGAACAATTTCCTCTGCCACGACCTGAAAACACCTTCAGACATGTTCAAGGCGACTGGGTTTAAGAGGCGGGAGCAGCAAGAAAACAAAGGAGACGTTAGTTTGGGGATGAGTAAGCACAGTAAGCAGGGAACAAGGGTTGGCTTTCCTCTTTCCCCAGGGAAGCTAAATGACCACCCTGGCCTGTGGAGGGCACGGGTGGGCACGCCAGGCCTGCCTGTGCCTAGCTGCCAAGCTGCCATCCCACAGCAGTCTTGCTCCGGTGACAGGTACACCACGGCTCAGCTTTCTCATTCACCCACCTATGGTTCAATCCTACCACCAGCTGGGTGTGCACAGAAGGCATGGGTGTGCCTGGCACAGGGTGGGCTTTCCCTGTTGCCAAGTGGCACCCTCATGCCAGCACTCGAGGCTTAGTCTTGTGTGCTTCAGCTGCAGGCCGTACCTCCGCGCCCCGCCGCCCCTCCTCGGTACACCCATGGTCCTCTGAGCACACTTGGCCTGCTGCAGAAGGGTTCGCTGCAGAGCTGCAGCCTGTCACCTGCCTGAGTTATTTAAGTCTGCATTGTCAGTTAATGTATTCTAATAGGCAAGTGGGTGACCGAGCTGGCAGACACAGGATGACGCGGAAATGGAAGAGAAGAGGCACCCAAGGAAACTTCAAGGCTTGTTTGCGCCCCTGCGCTCACCCCCGCGCTACCTCCCACAGGCACCTGGAGTCATGCCGAAGTGATGTGCAGATTACATAAGAGGGCGGGTGCTGGGGAAGTACCCCCACACACACACACGGGGCAACAGGGCAGGAGGGAGGTCACAGCTCCCACACCTCTACTTCAGCAGAAAGGCTCTGTCTTCCTCCGCCTGCCTGGACGGAGGCTCTCGGGGAGGCCACAGCTGGACCAGAACTTTCTAATGTGGCTAAGAGGACAGAGGTAGAGCCAGGCGACACTCCAGACAGCAAAAGACCATGCTCACACCTCCACCCTCCAGGAGAGCGCCCGGTCTGGCCCCTTCCTGCCAGCCACACTTGATATGTCTGAGAGGGAACAGGAACCGAAATGGCCGGGTGTGCAGAGCTGGCCTGCCCCCCACAGTGGCAGGCAGGACCCACAGGGCGGCTAAGGAGGTGCAGTGAGGGAGGAAGGCGGGTAGCAGGAGCATCCCAGCAGGCAGCACAGGCAAGGCAGAGGCTGGCCCTGCACACCCTCTGACCTGCAGCCTGGGGCCCGCAAGGTCCTTTGCTCCACATTTCCTCACTCAGAGCTAAGATACGCCACATCCTTTTCTTTTTTCCTCTTTGGAGTGGCACCAGGAGGCAAGCCCAGGGCCTCAAACGTCCCCAGCCGGAGCTGTGGGTTTGCTGTCTAGTGGTACGTTTGCTACAGTTCAGGAGCCACTGCTCACACATTAACTGCAGTCCACAGTCCACTCGGCGCCCAGGTTCACTTAGTGTCCTTTCTGCCCAGGACACAGCAGGACTCCAGGGGACATCAGTCTCCCTGTGTCCTCAGGGGGTTGGGGGTGGCAGCCTCTCTGCCCCAGTCATGATGGGTGACATGGCAGCATGTGGAGCTGAGCAGGGTCTACTGTACTGTCCCTGCTTGCCTTGGAAGGGGAAGCTGAAGAGCAACAGGGAGTGCCCGGGCAGCGAGTGCCAGTCTGTAGGCATGGCTCTGCACCCCAACTCCTCTACCACTGCTCTGGGGGTCTGGGAGGCTAGGGGACCTGCTCAGGAGCCGCAGCAGGAGCCCTCCCTGTGCAAACTGACTGGAATGGACTCCTTAGACCTGGGCCTTCTCCTCACACTGCACCCTGTGCCTGTCAAGGTCAGGTCTCAACCTGTCCCCTTCCACTGCAGCAGGCTCTGCCTTGAAGGCCAGAAAGAACACGAAGTGGCTGCTGGCAGCTGAAACAGGCTTCCTGCTGGGAGGAGGGAGCTTTCTACCAGGTTCTCTGTGTTCTTGCTGATAAAGTTCCAGCCATTGAGCTGGCCAGCCATTAGAACTCTCCTGAAACTAGAGCCATGTGCCCCCCCACAAGAAGGCTTCTGCTCTCAGGCCTGGCCCAGCCCCCCCCCCGCCACGACCATGGCGACAAGGGTGTGGAGAGGAAAAAAGGCTTTTCCCTACTCAGAAGTCTGTCTTCAACTGTCTCTCTCCTACTCTAGAACTTTCTGCTTACCTATTGCAAAAGCTTCAATCAGGAATGAAAACAGAATTCTGATTGGGAGATCCATCCCTTGGGAGAGAAGAAAGGTGGTGGGGTGGGGGTAGGGCAGGGTGGGGTGAGGTGGGATGGGGTGGGGTGAGGTGGGATGGGGTGGGGCGGGGTGGGGTGAGGTGGGACGGGGTGGGGCAGGGTGGGGTCGGGGTAGAGAGCTTTCACCCCATAGGCGCAGGTCTCCCACCGTTTCTGGAGACCTCAGACCAACGGCCACCCTCCTAGGCCAGCAGAGTGGCTGAGGATAGAGGTGAAGGTGGGGTTGAGTCTGCTGGGGTCACTTCCCAAAGGGCAGCTTCTGCTGAGCACAGACTCCCCATCCAGAAGCCTGTCTTGCCAGGAGAACAGCTTGCTTGAAATGCAAAGGCTGTCATCCTGTAATTAAATCTGAGACCCCCCCTTCCCACATGACGCCGGGATGAAGCCACTTTATATAACACAACTAAAAATAAGCTTGTGGAGACACACACACTGGGCTCCCTACCCCCAGCCTGTCTCCAGAGCTGCCCACCCTGAACCCTGACCTGCAGCACCATGGCTCTGAGGCTGCTCCTGCCCTGGACCTGGCCTCAGCATTACGTGTGTGGAGAGCGTGAGGCCAGCACTCATCGGGTGGCCACGCGGGTTTATGGCTGGGGGCCGCAGAGCTCCACTCAGGGAGGAGTGGGTGGGGAAGCCAGCGGCATATGGACACTGTTCTGTCTCTCCCTCAGTGGCCCTCCCAGAGCTGCCCATTCACTGAAACCTGCTCCCATCCACCCTGACTTGTGGCGCCCACCTCAGCACATTGTAAGAGCGGCAGAAGGTCTGGGAGGGCGGCCGTCACCATCCTGGGTGACACTTGTCACTGTTCCTCCTGGGAAGATGCAAGAAGAGCCAATGACAACAGGTCCACCTTGACAGCGGCTTCCTCTGCCTGAAGGACAGAAGTGGGTGCAAGCCCACCCTTGGGCCATAATTTTCTAGCTATCAGGCTGCTGCTCCCCTAGGAAAGGAGTAAGAGGAAGTTTGTAGCAGGCTTTGGGTAGGGAGCAGTCAGGGAAGGGTGGCCTCCTCACTCCACTCAGAGCCACAGTCTCGCTCATCTCTGGATGTCTGGCTTACAATGTACCCACCCACTCAGCAACCTCAACTCCACCCTTGATGCCCCCTACTACGGAACAGGTTAGGAAGGCCTTTCGGAACACTGCAGAAATCTGGACTCAGCCTAGGGTCACCCCAATGGAGAGCTGCGGGAAGATGTCCTCAGAGGCTCGATGTGAGCACAGGTCCTGACTGCCTCTGTCCTGCCCCAGCCACACCCCACAAGGTAGTCCTGTCTGAGCTAGCCTTTGGTCACCGGCATTGAGCTGCAGGCAGGACATAGACATTTCAAGTGTCCTGACACCTCTCTTCCCACTGTGGGCTTCTTTTGTGGCTGGCCAAGCCTCCTGCCAGAAGGACAGGCCTCAGGTCTGCCGGAAGACAAGCTGGCCTGAGTCTGTCAGCCACATGAATGTATGTGCTCTTTGCACAGAAACAGGGTGACTGTGGGTAGGCGGGCCCAGGAAAGGGCCTTGGGATGCTGCAGAAGGGGGTGTGGCCCAGACCATGGGAACTTTTCTGGGGGAGCCCTTTCCCCTCTCCCAGAGAGATCTCCTGTTTTTGTTGCCAGCCTCCACTTCTCATTCTCCTCTACGGCCCTGATCTTCTGGGGCTACACATGGACGGGCTGCCACTACCCCTGTACACTGGCTTCCGGCTGGCCTTCAGATCAGTGAGGGATCAGCGTCAGGCTGCGCAGACAGTATACCACACTGTCTAGAGAGAACAGGGAGGGAGATGAGGGACAGCTACGCCCAACCAGCTGCATGAGCAGTATTGGACAGCCCCTACTCGACGGCCAGTCTAAGGTGGCTCCCCATCACTTGCAACAAAAAGAACCCGGGAAAACAGACACACAGGGATGTACACTGAAGTGACAGAGAGAAAAGAGGACACCAACACTAGTAGCTGAAAGAACAGGAAACCAAATCGCTGTCCTGGGCTTTCTAAGTCCTTCCATTTCCTCCTTCCACAGGTAGCAAAATGAACAGGGGCCCGTCTGAGTCCTCTACTAACTGCTGAGGCCTGACAGCCGTGCAGTGGAAGTATCCTCCGGGTTGCTGAAGGAGTTGAATGACCAGCTGTCCAGGAAATGGATGGGGCAGCGTTATGTTTAATTAAAGGGAAACATTCAGCTCTGGTGTTTTACAAGGTAAAGCAAATAATTCCTCTATGTTCATCTAATTTACGTAAATATTTCTCCAAAGGAACGGTGCTGGAACCCCGCATGCCAACCTGGTCAGTTTCCTCAGCCAAGCCTTACCCACTACCTTTCTCAAACCACCATCCACCAGGCAGCTCCAAGCTGTGCTGGGAGGGAGGCTCCTCCCCAGAAGCTTTCCACCCACTCCCGCCCCCGCCCCTCACTCCCTCGCACACCCCCCCCCTAGGAGTCTCTCCATGCCCCACTCGCCCCTCTTCTGGGTCCTCTCCCCAGAATCCTAGACCCTGCTTGGACCCCATACTCCGCCCAGCGTCTGTCCACTTCAAGGACCCGCCCGAGGATCCAGCTTGTCCCGATCCTGCCTCCAGGGTTCAGGAACCTCCCTCTACAATTCAGCACCCTCCTCCGTCTCCACCCACTCCGGCCCGGGGCGTCCTCCCTTCCGGAAGACCGTCCAGGGTCCACGCGAGCCTCGCCGACTCACCTGCAATAGTGCGGGAGCCACCGGCTCCTTTACCGCACTCCTGCGGGACCGTCCCCTCGAGGGCCCGCGGCCCCGACCGCTGCCCCCCGAGTGCCGCCTCCACGCGCGCTCACGCCGGCGCCACCCGCACCGCCCACAGCCCGCGCTCGCTCTTCCTGCGCCACCCCGCCCCCGCTTCCCGCCCCCAGCCCGGCTGTCGTTCCGACCCCCTCAGGCTGCTCCGGGGCCTCCGCGCAAGCCGCGCCTCCGCCTCCCAGTGGCCGGCCAATCGTCGCTCGTAGCCTGCCCCCTAATCCCGCCTCTAGCCCCGCCCTTCGCCCCCGCCTCCGAAATCCACCAATAGAAAGGACGGCGGAGGAGCGGGCCTGGCGGTTGCCTAGCAGCGGTTGGGCTGGGCGGGGGCGGACAGCCGGGGGCGGTGATCCGGGCGCGGCGGGGGCGGGGCCAGGGGGCGGGGTCTTCAGGGGGCGGGAACCTTCGGCGGCTATAAAAGCAGCCGCCGCGGCCCGCCGCGCTCTGTGGTCTTGGTCTGCGCGCCTTTTCCCGTTGCTGCGGCTATCGCCTTGCTTCTCGCCGCCCGTGCCCCTGCTCTGGTCTGTGGTGTAGCCGGGACCCAGGACCATGTCGCTTTCACGCTCGGAGGAGATGCACCGGCTCACGGAAAATGTCTACAAGGTGAGTTTTCAGCGAGGCTCCGAGTGTGCCCCTAGTGTGCTTCAGGCCCGAGCAGGGCACCGGCTCCGGGACTGCGGGTACGGTGGGCCGACCTTCGATTGGTCACAGGTGGCCGCGCCCGCCCAGGGTCCTTATGCCCGCCGCGGCCCGCGCCGTCCCCGAGCACGGGTGGACGTCCCCACCCCGACGGCGCTGCTCAGCCCCCGCGCGCTGCCCCAGCGTCCGGAGGGAACTAGCAGTGCTGGGCCTGGGCTACTCTGCGACCAGGTCTGGTCCGCTGCACCCTGGAGTGAGGGGAACAGGGAGCGGGGGCGGCGTGGATGTTGCAGGCTGCCGCGGTCGGTCGCCCTGCGCTTGCTTGGCGCGGTGGCATCGTGGGGCTCTTCCAGGCGCTGTTATGCCAGCCTCTGGGCACTTTTTCCTCAACAGGCTTTCCCTTTCCACAACTCCTTTACGGGTGTTAATGTTCGTGGCCCAAAGTGGGAGGTCGAGCGCGGACAGGTTGGATGGGTGGACAGATAATCCGTCATCTTATGTAACCGCAGAGGGAGAAGACTAATTGTGTAGGAGGCTGACGCGCCTGCTTTTGCTTCTGATATGTGTTAAGAGTCGCATTCACATCCTCCTATGTGAAATGACAGTTTCTCATGGAAGAACTGCAGAGCTTTTTGCAAACCCCCTGTTGTCATGTTATGCCTTCGCCTTGGGTACAGATGGACGAGCTGTTTCCCATTTCTTCAGCATGGGTTCGCACAGACCTAGACCCCACCCCCAACACAGCCTGGGGCTCCCTGATGGAACCATGCTCACTGCAGTTCTCAGTGACATTTTTTTTTTTTTTCAAGAGAGAAATCCTTCCCCTGCCTAGTCCATGGCAGTCCTCTATGCTTTATTTCAAAACTGTGTAAGTGAAAGGCTTGCGATTAGTCACTGGCTTTTTTTTTACACGGAGTTGCTGGTTCATGGCTGAATGGGATTGTGGTCTGCTTTGGAGCAACAGTTTCTGGTTGTTCGAGCCAACCATGGCTGCTCCTTCCTAGGCAGTGGCCTGTGAAACCCTCTTAGCTGTGCTAACTCTGCTGCTGGCGGCAAATGGAAGCTTCTAGGGTGGCCCCTTAGGTTTCATCTGAAGTCCGGGGGGGCTGATTGTACTTTAATTCGTCGTTTAATAAGGCTTTAAAGTTGTAGTTACATGTGTCCGGAGGAATCCTGAGTGGAGCTCCACAACCGTGTTCAGGCTGCTGGCAGACAACATTCAGAACAGCCTTTGGGCTTGTACATGTAGGATCCGCACCCTCCCCGGCGTGCCTTCCCTCTTGATGTCTGTAGAAGCACACGCTGTCGGGGGAGGGAGGTTTATTAATTATTAGTCATTAGTTCCATTGCCGTTTGCTCTGTACTGCAGGGGTTCAGGAGAGAAGTACGGTCACAGTCTGCCCCTCCCCGTTTTCCTTGCTTCCTCACTAAAACATTAAACAGGAACTTCCGTGGTGAGCATCATGCAGAGGATGAGGAGTAGCTTTGCTCTGGAGAATCCCACAGCTCTCTTTAATACAATTCGTGCCTGGGCAGTCAGCCTGCACTTCCAGGCTTCACCCACATGCTGATGTAATCCATCTGGATGTCCAAAGTCAGGGCTGTTGCAGCGGCACAGAACCTGTCTGGATCGCAGCACTTGGGGACATTCAGCAGTGGTTTCAGGCTCACAGGCTGGAAGGTCTCAGTGGAATCACTGTGGCTCTGCCGTTCAGTGGGGCAGTGGCTGGTATGTCCTCCATGTGGATGTGCGCTGATGAGGTGTTCGTCAGCTTTTGAGGTTTTGGGCACAGTTAGGGTGGAGATGTCTAAAGGGCTGCAGTGTAGGCAGGTGGCTCTTGGACCCTCTGGGGGCTTGGCCTCTGAGTCTTTGACTCCTGTGCTCAGTTCTCATTTTGTATTTTGTCACTGAGGAGGCCACGGTGTGTGGTAGCACTAGTACAGGCTTGACAGCTTTGGCATGTGGGCCAGGGAGATACCCAGCCCACACAGAAGCACAATCAAGGGAGAGCCAGAGCCAGCAGCGTACAGCTAGCTCTAGGCCCGTTCAGCCAGTCTGCCATGCTGTCTTCTCCTGGGACATGTGGCTGCTGACTCCCTACTAGAGGGTGTTCCTAGGCTGGCTGGTGCTTGCAGACATTCTGGCAGTACCTCTTGGGAAGGCCGGGATGTGGCTCTGTTCGGTGTCACCCGCCATGTTGGCCTGCTGTTTGCTTTGGCCCTTGCATCACTTCAGCTGCAGTTCTGAGTGGTGTTTGCCTTGGCAAAGAAGGATGCTTGTCCTTGGCCCTGCTGATTAAGAATTCGAGAATAAAATGTACAGTTTTGATTTTCCTCCTGGAAGAACGTAGACTTTGACCTCTTTCCTGGTGGCTCAGTTCCCTTGGGAGCTGTGTCCTCGGGGAATTTCATGAAAGATGAAGGAAAGAAAAACAGGACAGCTTCGTGACGTGCACCAGGAGCTTATCCATAGGCCATAGGCCCTGCAGAGACAGGGAGCCTTAGGCAAGGAAGGCCCCTCCCTCCGTGCACAGGCAACAGAAACTGGAGTCTGATTGGACTGGTGTTCGCCCTAGGTAGCACCTGGATTAGCATAGATTCTGGAGGTTGGGCCTACTGCCCCAGGTGAAAGTGTGTTTTTAGAATGAAGTCAGCCCAAAGCCCCAGCACCTTCTGGGCCCCTCTGAGTGTATAGAAGGGGCTTCCATAACTTGATGAAGCCCTAGTGGGATGAGAAGAGAGTGTCATGTTAGCTAATTTGTTGTTTTCGAGACAGGATATCACTAGGTAGCTCTGGCTGTCCTGGTACTCATTATGTAGATCTGAGTGGCCATGAACTCACTGAGCTCTGCCTGCCTCTGCCTCCTGAGTGCTGGGATTACATGCCTGCCTGGGTCCTAGGTTGAACTCTGGCTGTCAGCTCAGTGGCAAGCACCCTTACCTGGTGTGCCTTCTTGCCAGCCCAAGTAAGGTTTTTATTTTTTCACTGTTGTTGGTGGTAGTGATTTTCTGAGACTGGGTGTCAGGTCAGCTACACCTACCTCAGTGTCGCTATGTAGCTGAAGATGACCTGGAACTCCTGATTCTCCTGCTTTCACCTTCCAAGTGTGCCTGGCTGAACTTAGTGGTTTCTCAAGGATTATAGCTCACAGGAAGCGTTGGCTTCTGGGTCTCCATGACCCTTAAGGGCGGCAGTCACTTCTTCAGGGACAGTGCTGTTATTCCCCCCTGATATGCAGCCTGGTAGAAACTGCGCATGGTGTGATTCTGGGGCCCGGGGCAGTGTGTTTGGTGTTACTGCCGGCGGCTACCTGGTCATCTTCCCCACAGGTGGCTATTGGCAGGAAGCTAGCCTGGCCATGCTGTAACCGTCCAGTAAAGGTGGCAGGTACCATGAGGTTCCTGGAGCAGTTGAGCTGATGCTTGTATTCTGATTGCTCACGCCTGGCAGGGGGAGTCCACCACCATTCCTCCAACGTTCCTCTCCTTTAGAAGGGGGTTTTGGGCAGCTGTGGAAACGTGGGACCATACCCTCTCTGCTCTGATCAAAGTGGTACTGATCCCTTGCTTTCAGAAGGGCACGCTGGGTGTCGACAGTGACGGGTTTCTCACAGCACTGATTGGCAGTGCCTGCCTGCTGCTAGGGGTGAGGCCACGATGCTGTGTTCCTTTCTGGGTACACACGTGTGTCCTCCTTTCGTATCATAGGCACTTCCGGGCGGGCCTGTCGGTGGGAAGGCTGGCTCTGCTCCATGAGTGGACCACCTGGGCCTGTCTTTTGAGCACTTCTTTCATATGCTACCTGTTCTTGTCCACTGCCAGCACTTTAGTGATGGCAGTTCAGACCCTGTCTCCTGTGTAGAGCAGTCACAAGAGGCAGCTTGTTTGTCCTGCTGACCTCTGAGCTGAGCAGCTCTGCAGCCCCTTTTCCCAGGCCATGCCCTGTAGGTCATAGGTTGGCTTATGAAGTGCCTAGTGCTTGGTGCATTGTTGCGTGCGGTTCATGTCTGCTGGAGGAGGTGACCGTGCTGTTCCAGGGGCGCCTGGGGCTCAAGGGCGTGGTAATCTTCGTGTCCAAAGAGTGCTTTGCCGTTGCCTGCTGTGTGAGGGGTCTTTCCTGGTGTGTAAATCTTTACTGGCTTACGGCACACACTGGCTGCGTAGCCAGTCCTGGGGTCGCAGAGAGGGCTGGTGCTGCTCCTGGTTCTTGTCAGCAGGAGGGCGCTGGAGGAGTAGCTGCTGGAAACTGCTGCGGTTGTGTTCTTGGAGTGCAGCTTCTGAAGGGACAGCCCCGAGGTCTGCGTTTGACCCTTTGCTTGGCATAGGTGACAGGACCTTGCAGGGGAGGGCCTTCTTCTTAGGAGCTTGAAGAGGCAGGTCACAGAGAAGCCAGGGTACAACCTGTCTTCTCACTGAGTGACTGTAAGTCCTATTCGAGAGCTGACTGTCACTGCAGGAGCAGAGGGAG